AAGCAAAAACTTAATTAAATACTTTTTTTCAGAACCCTTCATTCATACATAAAAGATTTAAACTCCTTATTTTGGAACCTAAAATACCTTAAACTTCTAACTTCTACTTACTGCTTCCACAAATACCATTCAGATTCAGCCTGCTTGAACTCTGCTCATTTCTCACACTTGTCAGGCATGAGAATCATAGGGCTTTGGGAAGACTTGACAGACATCTGCCCTCCAGGGCTCTGACTTAAATGCTGTCTAGGCCTTCTGAGCTCCAATTAAAGACTTCATCGCCAGTGCCACTTACTCTTCTTGGTAATCATTGGTTAATTTTCAGGTTCTGTGAAGGGTTTTTGGGGTTTTTTTTTATTTTTTCAGATTATATTCCCAGGTTTTAGCAGGGTACCTGACACACAGTGAATGCCTCACAGACATTTACAGGACTAAGTGAAACTCCGGGGACTGAGGGTCTCAGAATTCATTTTTCGGTGTCACTTTTCCTATGCAAAAGTAATATGAAATTATTGAATCTCCCTTCTCCCTCCACCTTCGTTATATAGTACTGCTGTGATAGAAAATCAACAAGTAGATCAATCTAACCAAGAGGAAAAACTCAATTTCTCACAGTTTAGGAAGTTAAAAGTCTGACTTCAGAGTGCCAGCTGTATGGGAAATTTTCTTTGTTTGCTCTTGGGGAAGGTTCCTGTCTTTCCATACTGGTGGGCCTGGTCTACGTCTTGGCTTCAGTCTTTCCCCTGGGTCTAGGTGTCCTCAGCACAGAAGCTCCAATTCCAAAGGATCTTCTCTGATCCTGACCCTTCTTTCATTGGTAGTCAGGTCCCTTCTACTTTATTTGCTTTCCTCTCCTTTCATCTTTTGTAAGATAAAGAGTAATGCAAATTATACTCCAGGGAAACTCCTGTATATCAGATACAGACTGTGACCTGAATCAGGTATTGTGTCCTGCCTTAATCGTCTTATAACCATTTGCCTGGTCACATCAGATCATATCTTTGGTATTGTTCTATCACTACGTAACTGCCAACTCACTGAGAATCATGGTCGGCCACACTGACAGTCTGAATGGATGCACTCCAGCTAACTCCAATTACCTTCCAACTCTGGCTGTGTGTTTGATTCTCATCCATACAGAAGACTTTGGGGCTTAAGATATCTTGAGAGCCTGCCATCTGCAGGCCCCAATTCCAGTAAGACTTTCATCTTAAAGAGAGGAGAATCCTGACCATTTTGCTTTTTCCTGGACAGTATAGGCTGGGTGAGCTTATGGGCATTTACCTTTACATTGGTCCTAAACCTGTTTTGATATATTATAAGTTATAAATAATTGGAAATTCAATATTTTCTCCTTTTATATATGTCCTTATTGGTGAGTTGAGGTATTAATCTGTATCATCTTTCATACCCTCTCAAAAAAATGTGTCCTTACTGTGTCCATTTTAACTAAAAACAAACAAAAAAACAAATCAAAACAAAAAACCCCAACCCAAATCTCAAAAACACATGCAGCCATCTACTTTAAAGTGGCATTTTAACTAGGAAGCATATGTACATTCAGGTTTGATTTGGTCAATGATGTCTTGTGGTTATACATAGAAGGAAAAAAAATACAAGGTACTACCTTCAAGGAAGCTTCTAGCAGCATCTAAATAAATTAATACAGGCCCAACTTCTTCCTGGACAAATTTTGGCTAACATTGGGAGTCCCAGAACGCTTGGGTGTGCTCATGCAAAACTTATCCCTATGCCAGGAAGCAGTTGTATGAACACAGCATGGAAACACTGCATGGCTCAAAATCAAGAAAAGAGTGCATCAAGGATGTGTCCTTCCTTCATACCTTTTCAATCTATATGCAGAACAGATAATTCAAGAGGCTGGTCTTTATCAAGAAGAATGTGGCATGAGGATTGGAGGAAGATGTATTAACAACCTGTGTTATACAGATGACATGACCTTGCTCAGCGAAACGGAGGAGGACCTGAAGTGTTCGCTACAGAACATCAAGGACTGCAGTCTTCAATATGGATTGCAGCTCAAAATCAAGAAAGAAAGATTCTCTCCACCAGGCCAACAGGCAGCATCATGATAGGTGGAGAAGAGATTGAGGTTATTAACAAATGTCATCTTGCTCAGATCCACAATCAACGTTCTTGGCACCAAAAGTCTGGTAATCAATAAATGTGTTGTGTTGGGAAAGTCTACTGTCAGGAACCACTCCAGAATGCTAAAAAGCAATGATGTCAATCTAGAGACTTAGGTGCACCTAATCCAGGACATGGTCATCTCAATTACTTGCTATTCTGAGAGCTGGACAATGACTGAGGATGGCAGAAGAATTGATTCTTTTGAGTTATGGTGCTGGAGAAAAGTACTGAACATACCATGAACGGCCAGAAGAACAGTTTTGTCTTGAAACAGAGGAAACCAGATTGCTCCTTGGAGACAAGGATTTTGAAACACTGTCTCACATGCTCATAGCATGTTCCCTGGAGGGACTAGTCCTCGGAGAAGTACATCATGCTTGACATAGTGCATGGGACTGGGGAGGGGGTATATCAAATACAGTGAGATTAGCTCAGAATAAGGCAGAGTTTAGAGCTATTATTCATTTGGGCATAGGATTCATAGTTGACTCGACACATAATAATAACAAATGCTGCCAGCTCTTGGTGTTCTCATTTTCTGTGTGTTTGTGAAAACTGGTTACACCACAGAAATCAGTCACTGAATAGTTGTTTAAACTAGACAAAGCCATTGGCAATGAGTCAGAACCAACTTATAGCTGACCCTCGAGCAGGATTTCAGAGGAAATACATGCTGAGGCAATTGCCCAGTTTTCTCCTGTGGAGTCACTGGTGGATTCAAATCATCAGAGAAGCCCTGCCTTTTGATTAGCAGCACAACTTCTTAAAGAGTAGGCTACCAGATCCTGTAGTAATCTTAAGGGGAAAATGATTTACATATAGAATAAAATTTATAGGTTTTTATATTGTCCTGGTACAGAATTCTTATGAGTGGCTACTTTCATATAATATAATTTTCATAATAGGGCTGTAGAGTTTTTAAATGAGTGTATGCTTTCTTTTCGAGCTTAACTAGTTTTTTTTTTTTTAAAAAAAGGAAACAAAAGAATTGTTACCAGGTGGTGGTGGTGGTGGTTTATGCCATCAAGTCGCTTGTGTCTCACAGCAACCCTATGTACAACAGCTCTGAACCCCTGTTCTATCTTGAGCCAACCTCATTACCCAAGTCACTGAGTCAAGCCATCTCATTAGGGTCTTCCTCTCCTGTGCTCTTCCTCCACCCTTCCAAGCATCATGTCCTTCTCCAAGGACTGGTCCCTCCTTTCAACATGTTCTAAGTATGTCAGATGGAGCTTCAAAATCCTTGCCTCAAAGAAGCAACCTGATTTCACCTTCTCCACAAAAACCTGTTTGTTCTCCTAGAAGTTCATGGTGCTTTCAATACTCCAGCACCACAACTCACAGGCATTGATTCCTCTATCATCTTTAGTCATTGTCCAGCTCTCTGGTGCATAGCAAATAATCACAGAGGCTGTGGCCTGGATCAGTCACATCTTAATCTCTAGACTGACATTGTTGCTTTTCAGTTCTCTGGAGAGGTCCCTGACAGCAGTCTTCCCCAATGCAATTCATCTTTTGGTTTCCTGGCTGTTGGTACCAAGAGTGTTGACTGTGGAGCCACGTAAAATGAAGCTGTGAACAATCTCAGTCTCTTGACTGTCTATCATGATATTGCCAGTTGGCCCAGTGGTGAGAATATTTATTTTCTTGATCTTGAGCTTCAATCCATATTGAAGGCTGCAGTCTTTGCTTATAATGACTGTATTTCACAGATGATTTGATTTTTAAGACTGTAATCTTTATAGATGAAGATAGTCATTCATCTTTCTGCTAGTGACTGTCTTGTGAGTTCAAACTGCCTGCCTTTTATTTAGTGGCTCAATGTTCAGTCACTGTGTCACCAGGGTCCTAGTATAGTATGGAAAAAGCAGATAATTAGAAATGTATTAAGGTCCAAATCTCCCTAAAGATAAAGGAGACAGAGTATGAGTCAAGGATATTTCTTTGGGTTTGTAGAAAGATATCTGGGTTTGCTCCTGTATAAACACATTCTTTGTGAGAGACCACAAATGTCAAGGCAATGAGATTTTGTGTTGACCAAGATTTTCAGAAATATCAGTCACTCATCTCAACTGTAAAGTGACATTAATGGCTATTAGTTCATTCTCTCCTTTGCTGAATCCATGTCCACCCACCTCTACCAATTTTAGCTTATACCCTTTCCTTGATGGTTGGAGAGCATGTAGTTGTTCCAGCTTAATATTGCAAAAGGCACCAGTGCCCAGCTCCCCAGACAGTGAGCTACTGTGTGCAGGTCAGTACCCACCTTGAGCTTTTAAGACCTGTCTCTCTGAGAAACTTTAGATTGTGTCTGCTTACTGAGTGCCTGCTTTGTTCCAGGCTCTAAGCCAGGACTGTGTCTATACAGCTAAATTGAAGTAGGAAAGGAAACAAATACCTGGAAAATGTGATCCTTGTAGGCTATTATATGATTCATCAAGTCATAGCCAGCAGCAGCAGCAGCAGTAGCAGCATATTTCAGTAAGACTTTTTATCACTTAGCCCTAGATATTTGTCTCAAGTGTTCACTTTACTTATCCTATATAAATACATACTTAGACAATACTGTGTTATAAAGAAAAATGACTATATAATCTTTGTCATAAACTATGGACTAGAATAGTTGGAGATAAGTTGTGCCTCAATACACTTGCATTAACCTTCTGTTCCTACAATAATTGAATTTATACACCATCTAGTTCTTCAGATCCACAGAAACTCATGAAAAAATAACTTGGTTAACTGAACACCTATCTTCAATTCTTCTTTTAATACCTTTTGTCTTTTTGCCTGTTCTTTCTTTGAACACATATATGTAGTTGATGGTTTTTATCTTTTTATTTTTACAGATTTTTACATGAGTTAGCCCAGATCCCCAATTTTGCTGAACGTGCCCAGTGTATAATCTTCAGATCTGTCTTTTCTGAAGGTATCACCTCCTTGCACCGAAAAGTAGAAATCATCATGCGAGCTTCTAAGGTATATTTGTTGTTTAATTTTAAAAAGTCATGTTGGCCTTCTTGGAGCTAAGGGAGGACATACAGAGAAAGAGAGACTATCTAGAGTCCCCTGTAGAAAATCTTTGAATTTGAAATCATGTTTTTCCAACCATGATTGTGACCAGCCCAAGTGTGAGAATGAGTGAATGTATAAAAGAGAGGAAGAAAAAGAGAAAAGGAAAATGACACTTTCAGAGAATAATTCTTAGATATTCCAAATACCTACCAACATACATACTGTCTGGCATCTTAAGACCTGTCCAAATTGTCAAGCTTGTTGTCTGTGTTACAAAAGGGATTTTGCATTAAACCTTTATATTTAATCAGCAGAGATGTGTCTATAGAGTAAAATAAATTATTCTAGAGAATTGATAAATTAAATAATGTTAATACTGATTGGCAAATAACTTTTGTTAACCTTTCCAAAAAAAAACCCTCAAAACAAAACCATTGGCATTACTAAATTCTAGAATTTTTCTTTTTCTCTCAACTGATTTCCTTATGAACAAGATATTCTTCTCCCCAAGCACTGGATTATTCAGTAGCTTTTCTGTGGGACCTGATTTTTTTTCCCCCTCTGAAGTAGTAGAGATTTCATGTTACCAGATGATGTAAATGTTACTATACTAATCAACATACACTCATAGTACCCCCCCCATAGGGAATTGACACAATGTGTCTAAAGCTGAAGTTTGATTTTTTTACCCTGAAATAAGACCAAAGGGAAGCGTGGGAGTAAATAGAATTCCAATTTGAAAATATGCTTTTGGAATCAAGAAAGAAAAAGAGGAGTAAAGAAATAATATTGGGAATTTGAAGAAAACTCTAAACAGCTTAAAATTATAAATTAGTAGATAATGTCACTGAACAGTTAGAAAATAAAGACTATGGCATTAAAAGGCATTATTGTTGGGTTTTTTTTCTAAGTATAATACCAGGGAGAAGTAAAAATAATGCTATTATATATATATGTTGCATTTAATTATCCTGTTCATATGTAGTCCCAAAACAAAATGCTTAAATTATACTGCACCACTTTCTGCTTAGAAATTATAAAAGCTTAATTAAGCCTGGTCTTTAACAGTTTTTAAAAAAAATAAAACCAATTCGGGTGAAATTTTGAATTCTGAAACATAATCCTCAATATTGAAACATGTACTGTTTCTAATTAATTTCTTTAACAGGTAAGGAATAATGTTTTAATGTGTTTTTTTAAGGACACTTTTAAAAAAGTAAAAGTAAAGTAAATATTCCGTGTCATAACAATTGGCCTTGCCTGTATAAGCCCTACTCTAGCCCTGGACACTCAAGAAATACTTATTTTTTAATGAACATGGCTATAGGTACATTGCCATTTGGAATTCAATGCCACAGTAATTGGTATTTACTGTTCTAGGGTTTGCTGCACATGAAGAGTGTGAAGGATATTTTAGCTCTCATTCTGGCTTTTGGAAATTACATGAATGGAGGAAATAGGACTCGGGGACAAGCAGATGGCTATAGCTTAGAAATTCTGCCCAAACTCAAGGATGTCAAGAGTCGGGTTAAGTATCTATTTATTTATTTTTCATAATGAATGTTTATAATGTATTATCTTTCTTTTCTATATTCTTAATTTTAAAATATTCAATATTGTTCAGATTACAATCATTTGTTTCAGAACATGTACCTTTTCTTTGCTTTCTTTTGACTTCTGAATAAAAGTTAGGGTTTCTTTTAATTTTTAAAAATCCTATTTTCAGTGACAAAAATCTTCACTTTGGCTGCACTGAAATATACAATTAGGAAGCACTACTGCAGTGAGTGCAGAAAACAGATTGCATACAATGTTAGCCATAATGGAAAGCTGGACTTTGTTTGAATTCTGCATTGCCTACTTGTAATTTACTCATTCCTGAGTGGCAGAGCAATGCTGAATCACCAATTGCGCTGAGCACTTGAATTATTCTTTTGCCCAAAACAACAATTGGGCTGGGCTCTACTGTCAAACTTTCTGAGCCTGATTATCATTTGGCTCCACACCCCTGCAGAGCTACTTCTTTAGAAACAACCAGCCCATATCTAGGCGTCCCATGGGGGCCAGGAGGTGGGAGGGAGGGGAAACACACAGGCAAATTAGAATTAGACCCATGTGAACAAGACACAAAGGCTGTCTTGTGGGAGGGCCTGCTTGCCCCTGGCCTCCCAGGGTCATAAAGTGGCGTGGCGTTCCTTTTAAGCTGCCCTTATTTTTTTTTTTTTTCACGCCCTTAAGAACACACTTTTTTTAAAAGGTAGGAAGGGAGGGATAGTTTTCTGTTCAAATCACTGGTTCCCTTTAGTTTCCCCCCACCACATCTAAACACCACCCCATTTTAGCTTTGTGCCAGAAAATATTGAGGGTCTGTTTTTTGTCTATTTACTCTAAACCATCTCCTATGAGGTCTTACAGATTATATTTTTTACTTTACTTTTCCACAAAAAATTAATGTAAGGTCACGTCTTTGTATTGATGGAATGTTTTAAATGGCTAGGACAGGAGGAAGGGAAAAAAAATCATACTCCTCTCAAACAGAATTAGAAGCAGGTATTACAAATTCTAAGATCTCTTTATATAAGATGTATGTACAAATGATTTTGTATATTGGAAATGATTTTCATGTATTTATCTTTTAAACCTAGGACACTGGGATTAATCTGGTGGACTATGTCGTGAAGTATTACCTGCGATACTATGACCAGGTAAAATGTGGCATTTTGTGGAAAACTACACTAATGGCATTTCAACTCTTTTTTGGCATTTAGAAGTTGGATGATGGATTAGTAGATGGATGAATTTCAGAGTCAACATAGAATTTTGAGAGCTGTCCAGCCTCACTGGTTTACGGATGAGCACACTGAAGCCAAGAGAGTTTAGTTGACTCTTGTAAAGGAAAGCATTATTTGGTGGCAAAAATGTACTGATTCTCAATCCAGTTTGTAACATTACTTTAGAGAAACCCCCAAGTTAGTTCTGAACTTTATGACCATATTGTGAAGTTATTTATGAAATTTAGACCCATTCAGTAATCAGAACCAGATTCTGAGCTGAAGAATAAATTCAGCAAACCATTATCAGTCCCTGGTAGTACAACGGTTAAGTATTTGAATTGCTTATCAAACGCTTGGTAATTCCAACTCACCTAGCAATTCTACAGGAGAAAGACGGTGATCTGCTCCTGTAAATATCAGAGCCAGGAAACCCTTAGGGAAATTCTACTCATTACTTGGCATCAACAGGGGTTGAAATCAATTCAGGGGCGCCACATAAAGTGGCAATGCCAATATTTTATCAGTTAAATTTGTCTATGAACAAGTTCAGGACACAGAATATGAGATCTACGTCCTTTGCTTAGATAACATTTGCAACAAAACCCAAAAATTTATGTAAGAATCCACATGAGCACACTTTTCTGTGTTTTCTTTCTTCTCATTAAGTTGAAAAGAAAGAAATTCTGTTGTAATTGGTTGAGAAAGAAAGCAATCAATATGAATGGGAAAAGTCTCCTAGGAAAAGGAGGCCAGGATTCCTGCTTAACTAACCCTATAAGTAGAGTTTTTCCTAGGCACTGGAGAAAGGTGTAATGGTTTTGTTTTCAAAAGGTCTACAATTTTATCTAGGAAATAAGCACTGGTGAAAAAAAAATAATTAAGAAACTCCCTCTACCTGTTAATGGAATTATCTGCCAGTCCTCTTTATCTACATGTAGGTTAGTTCTTTTCCTACCACTCCCAAATGCCTTCTCTGTTTCTGTTAAGAATATCTTGATTTTTTTTAAGTCATTCATGTATAAACATGTGTTTTCCTTTGATTACTTTCTATACTTTAAGGAAATTATTCTAATTTATTTCCCTTCTTTTCCTAGTCTTTACTGGCCTCAGCTTGTTCAAGGTGGGCTTCAAGATAACCCACCTGTTGAATGACAGTATACCAGCTCAGACTCCCACATTTAGTTTACTCCTTATTTCCATCTGTACTACTCCTTGGGCCTGATTCCACTTTGTATGTATGTGTGTATATGCATATGTATGTGTGTGTGTGTGTGTGTGTGTGTATATAGATATATATCCAAAACAAACTTATTGTGGTCAAGTTGGAACCAACTCATTGTTGTCTCCTCCATGGGTTTTTAGAGGTTGTGAATTGTACAAGAGAAATTGCCCAACTTTCTCCTGCTGAACAGGTAAATTTGGGTACTTATCCAATAAGCCAACCAGGGCTTCCTTCTGGATGTATATTTCTGATCATCTCACTTTCTCACTAAAACATTGAAAGAGACACACATTTTCCAGTGAACTTAGACTCTACTGAATTTAATCCTAAGCTCTGATAACTAAGCTTTTGTAATTTACACTTCATCCATAGGCTGTGTTCTTAACTCAAGACTTAATGTTCTTCATACTCACCCTGTACTGCCTTAATGTTCTTTTAACTTCTGGTGTTCTCACCATTGAAACTATTCTCACCTATACATCAATCTGTGTATCTATATTTTGTTTTTATGGTCATTATATACCTTTAAATAGACTTTGTGTATAAGAGAATGAAGCTCTAGTCTTGTGATGTCCTCATAGTCATTGCCGTGTTTGAGCCCATGTTTTAGCCACTGTGTAAATTCATTTTATTGAGTCTTCCTCTTGTCTTCACAGCTTCAGAGCCTTGTATATCCTAATATATAAAAAGTACCTAAGATAAGGATCTATTTTCAAGTCAAAAGAGTATTCTGACTGTTATTCTTCAAAGACAGATTTAAAAAAAAAAACAAACAACCACCAACCTAAGTGCATGATTGAAATTTTAAGAAACAAGAAACCTTGATATCTTATAAATGACTCAAATAAGCCTATGTAACATATTGGAAAAACTATGTACAAAATAATACAGAATCACAAAAACTCTTTTCATGGGATAGAGGGAAGTAAAGAAAAAAATCAGAAGCGGCATACAAATTACACAATACAAACAGGATTTATAAATAGGTATAAACAGAAAATCTATTATGTCTCAGCTCATATAATTGCCATTAAACAGAGCCAATCCATAGCTGACCCTCATTGGTCTTCTTTAGCCTTTGAAATTGCTGCTGGATTCAGACTGCCAGAGAGGCATGATTTTGGGGTTAGCAGTACAACTCCCTATGGACCAGTGAGATCAAGTGTACAAATACTATAAAATATCTTTTATTACTTGTCACACTGGCAAAGTTTTTGTTTATTTTAATGATAAGTCTCTGTATTGGCAATATAAAAGAAACAAAAGTATAAATAGTTTAAACCTTTCTCAGTTTATAATGTACAACTGACCAACTTATTTTCTATTTATGATCTCTAGGTCAAAGAGGGCTCTTATCTATCCTATCCTTAACCCACCAAATTCACTTTTTGAAAATTCACAAATGATGTTTGTTAATTGGTGCATCCAAAGAGCTATGTTATAGGTGTTATATATGTATATATAGGTGTTATATGGGCTAGCAAGATTTTCTTTTTAACATTCCCTATCATAAGCTCCCAAGCCAAAGGTTGTGTAACCCTGGTATGTCCACTTGCTGTACAGAGGTAGCTTGTTGCTGTGAAGCCAAATACTGTTACCCATGGTGGACAGTGTTTGGTGAAGCTCCCCCATTAAAACAAGCTTAGAAGCAGGAGTGACATCCGCTTCCATAATATCTAGCCTTTGGAAACCCTATGAACCTGGAAAAAGGATGAAAGTTATACAGGAAGTGTCCAGGACTTTCGTTCATAGGGTCGCTATGAGTCGCCTGCGATTGGACGGCACTTAACAACAACATTATATGCCATTGTTTGGGTGACTTAATCAGCAACCCTCAGGCCCATTTTTCATTGTTTTTATTCAAACATTCTTCTGGTCATGTAGCCCTGGTCTGTCCACTTGCGGTTGCTGTGAAGCTGAACACTGTGATACTGATGTGTCAAATTCATTAATGGCTACCCATGGTAGACAGTGTTTGGTGGCGCTCCCCAATTAAAACAAGCTTGGAAGCAGGAGTGGCATCCACTTCTGTAAATAGCTTGCCTCTGGAAACCCTATGAACCTGGAGAAAGGATGAGTCACACAAATGTTGAGGACTTTCGTTCATAGGGTCGCTATGAGTCGCCTGTGACTCGACGGCACTTACAACAACAACATCATATGCCATAGAAATATTAAAATATTTCTAGGAATTAATTTTTAGTCAAAGAAAAGAAATGAGTGTTTGTATCACTTCATAGTAATTTATAATGAGTTTTATTGGGAAGAACTTAAAAATGTCCAGTAGTAGAGCCTAAGATTAAGTCATTCAAAGCAAAGATATTTTTCCATGGAGAGTGTATAGAAGAATGTGACATTGGAAAATATTCTTATTCTGCCCATGAATAATGAGTATGTTAAGATAGAGACAAACACACAAGTATAATAAACATGCATTGCCTTTATAAAAGAGAAAATACATATCATGATATATAATCTAGCCAGATTATAAATCCAACTTTAAATGATACCTCTTGCTTTTAAAGGTGGCATAGTGTACAACAAAGGAGGCTCCTAACTGAAAAGACAGCAGTTCAAAACCACTAGCCATTCCATGTGTGAAAGGTTTCCTCTTCCCATAAAGATTTACCACCTCACAAAGCCAGGGTATGATCACTGCGAGTCAGAAGCAAAGGGATGACAGCAGGGTTTCTTTCATGAAATCTTTACGGATTTCCTCAACTATGACTCTCTTCAAAGACCTAAAAGACTTTCTTTGCATTGTTTTCATGATAGGTGGTATTCTGCCTTTTATATGATCTTCTCTGAGCAATTATTTATTGTTCTGACATTGTTCCTTTTATCTTGACTGCATTGTTTTTTCCCTTTTTTAGTGTCTGTAATATAGATGCCAATAAACACTTGTTAAATTGAATATACTTGTAAATATTCACAAGTGTGTAATCGGTAACCTTTGTGAAGAACAAGTGATGAGGAGGGGAGAGCTGTTTTTTAGTAGAGCAAGGAAAGCATATAGAGCTGCAGGCAACTAAGCAGTTGGAAGAACATGTAAGCAGACCTTTTTAGAAGTCAGGATTCTTTTTGTGTAATTGTGCATGAGCCAATTAGCCAGGTTGCATCTACCACCCCAAGTCAAATGTATTGCAAAAGAAGGCTGAAATGTGTCTATGAAATATGTCCTTCACCGGAGAGTGGTGAACCTGATGGAACCAAATTCACAGAGGAAAATCCTACAATAAGAATATTTTCAGAGGAAAATCCTACAATAAGAATATTTTCAATCACGGAAAGGTCCAGTCTAGGAAAAACAAGTGTGCATATCTTTAGTGATCTCTGGGCTTTTGCTGTGCAGAAATGCGTTTCACTCAGCAAGAGTGTAGAATGATATGATTTATTAAGCCATCCCCTCCCTCAAAGGAGCATAAGTGATGACTCTTGTGGTTAGTGGTGATGAGCAATTAGCTGCAGAAAGGTGGCTCCTGCTCCAGACTTCCTTCCACTCATACCAGATATTTATTTGGTCCAAGTCCGATTCTCTGGTATTTAAAGAAGCCTGTCTAAACCCTGTCTTTTGAACTCTGAGCAATTTTCACAAGAGCTACTATCAAACTGATTTGCTCACTAGAATTTCCTCTCGGATTCTAACTTAAAAAATGTTGAAAGCAGGACTGAATCTGATAAAAAGTTTTGGAAACTAGAAAGAGATTAGACCTGAGCCCTTCCAGCATAGTTTACTTTGGTGCTTTGTCGAAAGCAGCTTGGATGTCAGTCCACCTTGTCACGCAGACTGGAGTGCTTCTCCCATTGTTTCAGAAGTAGTAAAATAAGGAGAAAAGGGGGGGGAAGTGACTTGATGATGAAAACTGTTATGTCTTAATAAAATAGGGGGGAAATCATCTTTTCCTGACATTGCAAGTGAAGGTGAAATTTTTAAGACAAGGAGAAGGTTCCAAGAAATTTCTGAAACCAAAAAGGACATATGATGAATTAGATGTCTCCTGGTATATGTAAAAACTTCCCTCAGCAGTGTTATACAGGCTTTCACATCTGGTGCTGACCAACTGTAAACAAAGTTTATCACTATGCTGTATACTGCTGTATACTGCTGTATACTGATGTTGTATACTGTATCAAGAGCAAGATGAAGTCCTTACCTTCACGGTGCTCAGAGTGCAATGAGAAAGACACAAAAAAGAAGAAACTGCAATTTTTAAATACATGTTGATAAGCAACACAATAATGGTCTTAGAATACTGTTGAAAAATGATCCAGTGCTGAAGTTAGAGGGAATCTTTAAGGACATGGCATCTGTTTGAGACTTGATGGATATGTTTCAATAGGGAATGTCTGGGAAAGGATTGAAGAAGGATGCTTTTGAAGATACAAGCCTAAAGGCCAGACATCATAGACTCCTATTATTTAACAAAAGTTTGGGAGAAGGATCTGGACTTAGGGGAAAGGTAGAAATAAGACTAGAGAGATAGACAGAGGCCAGATCATAAATGCCTTGTAAAGTAATTTTAGAGTTTGGAATTAGTCCTAATGGCAGTAGGAAAGATGGAATGTGAAGGAAAGCTGGCAAAATACCCTGAGTAGAGAAAGGAATAACCGAAGGCTGCCTGAGATATACAAGATACACAGCTTATATTAAACAGCTCAGGGAGAAAGCAGCAAGGCTGGAAAAGACATTTGAGCCTCAGCTTATCTTTCTCAGCATGCCTCAAAGCTTTATCCTTACAGACGGTATTCAGTGAAGATCCTCTATTAGGTGTAGCTGTGGAACTTGACATAACAGTACTTAACCAAGTGTCTGTAACTATCCCCTGTGATAAACTGAACATTTGGAAAAAAACCTTTGCAAATATATCAAGAACATGCATGCACACAGAAACACAAAACTTTAAGGTGAATTAATGTGTAAGACTGAGTGAGCTCTTCTCCCATTTCAGTGCCTTCTTGCTTAGCACCTTCCAACTCACACCAATTACTATAACCTGAAAAAGACTTATCTGATTGTAGCATGTCAAACACAAACAGGGACTTTTAAGTTTTAGTACTTTATATATTCCCTCATTCCTTTATTCTATGGGAATGGAGTGTCCAATCAAGGTCAGGACTTACCTAACAATTTTCTCTTTGTTTCTTGAAACAAAATAAAATATAGTATATGACCTATCCAGCTCCAATGTCAACAAGACCAAAAGGATAGTGTAAAAGGCAAGAAAGGACTTCAAAGTCTGCAGTCCAAACTGAGGAATATCATTATGATTCTTATTCAAATACCCAAATAAAGTGTGTGTGTGTGTGTGTGTGATGCTTTGAAATTTTAATACATATTGATGATGGAAATTAAAATGTTCTTTTATTATCTGTTAGGATGCAGGAACAGAAAAGAGTGTGTTCCCCTTGCCTGAGCCACAGGATTTCTTTCTGGCATCCCAAGTCAAATTTGAAGACCTCATTAAAGATTTGAGAAAACTGAAAAGACAACTAGAAGGTAATGGGACCTTTTCTATTACAAGGGTAATAACTAAGACAGGGGTTTCTGTTGTTTTATTAGAAATTTTTACTGGTTTTCATCTAATCTTTCCTATACATTGTGATTTGTACATGAACTTTGTGTTTTATACACTCATTAATATGCATGGTATTTTATATAATTAATTACCATTCTTCTATTCCTTTTATTACAGCATCTTTTCAAGCCCCCATTGAACCTTTCCCATTACTTCATCCCTACTCCATCCACTGACCTCTTCTTTTGCAGTGATTTTTTTCCCCCTTCCCATTTTTTTTGCCCCCTTTCTCTCCTTTCTCTTATGAACATTTACAACATGCTTAATTGGGTAGAGGGACAGCCAAGGATAGGAAGACCCCAGATGAGATGGATTGACACAGTAACTGGAGATATGGGGGCAGGTGTGTTGAAGTCAGTGAGACCAACCAAGGAGGGGGCAGGATTCAGAGCATACATAGGGTTGCTATGAGTCGAAGGCAACTCAGTGACACATAACGACAGCATATCTTAGTTATCCTCATGTAGTATTTGTCCTTGTGTAACTGAGATATTTCACTCAGCATAATGTTCTCTAATCTCTACCAAGTTATATAGTGTTTTTTAAATCATTGCTCCTTAGTACTGCTGCATAGTGTTCCATTGTATGAACATACCACAGTTTCTCAATTTATTCATTTGTTGATGGGCATTTTTCTTGCTATTGTGAATAATGCTGCTATGAACATAGATGTACAAATATCAATTTATGTCTCAGTTCTTATTTCCTTGGGATACTTTCCTAGTAGAAAAACTGGATCATATGGTATTCTATGTTTAGCTTTTTGAGGAATCATCAAACCAGTTTCCATAGCAGTTGTACTGTTTTACAGTTCCACCAACAATGCATAAGAGTTTTAGTTGCTCTGCGTCTTCTCCAAAATTTGTTTCTTTCTTTGTTAAACTTTGCTTCTGCTGCTGGAGTGAAGCGGTTATCTCATTGTTGTTTGAATTTGCATCTCTCTGTTTATGAGAGATTTTTAAAATTTCTTCATGTGTTTCTTGGCCATCTGAATGTTCTCCTTTGTGAAGAGTCTTTTTATGTCTTTTGCTCATTTTGTGATTGCTTTAGCTGCCCTTTTCTGGTGGAGGCACTATAGTATTCTGTATATTTTGGTCATAAATTTTTTTTTTCTTCTCCTAGATCTGTGAGCTTTTACTCTAGTGGAGAAAGTTTTTTATGCATACAGAGATTTTATTTTAAGGAGATTCTATTCATAGATCATCTCCAGGTTGTACAGTTTTAGCTGTTGTTTGGCAAGATTATTTATGCCATAGGCAAGGGCTTCCAATTTTGTTCTCATTTTGTCTCTTATGATCTTTATTGTTTTGGATTTTACCTTAGGCCTCTGATTCACTTTAAGTTGATTTTTATGTATAGTGTGAGATGTAGACACTGTTCAGTTTTCTGCAGGCAGATGTGCAGTTTTGCCAGCATCATTTACTAAAGAGGCTGTCATTTCCAAGTTTAATGAGTAATATTACCTTGTTAAATATCAGTTGATTATAGCTTCATAACATTATTTCTGTGTTCTCTATTCTATTCCATTGATGCATATGTCATTGTCCTAATACATGCTGTTTTGATTACCACAGCTGTGTGGTAGGTTTTGAGATCAGGAAGTGAGATGCCTTCAACTTCATTTTTGTTTTTTAAAGGAGCTGTGCTTATTCTGGGTCTCTTTCCTTTCCAAACAAAATGAGAAATTGCCTTTTCTATCTCTTTGACGAATGAATTGGGTATCTGTATTGGGATTGCATTGAACATGTAGATTGCTTTTGATAGGATTGCCATTTTCAGTATGTTAAGTCTTCCTATCCATAAACAGGGACTATTTTTCCATTTAGTTATGTATCTTATTGTTTCTTGTAGTAGAATTTTGTAGTTTTCCTTATAAATGTCTTTGTATCTCTAGTTAGCTTTATTCATAAGCATTTCATCTTTTGGTTGGCTATTGACAGTGATATTACTATTTTTGGTTTCTTTTTCTTTGCTACTGTAGAGAAATCCCACTGATACTTGTATTTTGATCTTCTATCCTACTAAATTGGTCTACTAGACCTAACAGACTTTTTTTTTTAGTTTTGGGCCTCTTGTTTTCTTTTTTTGCTTTATCATAATGGAACTTCCAATACAATATAAATAAGAGTAGTGATAGTGGGAAGCCTTGCATGGTCCCTGATGGCAAGAGGAAAGTTTTTAGTCTCTCTCCATTGAGAATGATGCTGGATTTTGGTCTTGTATATATATATATATTTTTTGCTATGTTTAGGAGATTCTGCTTTATTCCTATTTTGTTGAGTGTTTTAATTAGACAAGGGTATTGGATTTTCCATGCCTTTTTCTACATTAATTGATAGGATCATCTGGGTTTTATTCTTTGCTTTGTTAATGTAATGAATTACATTAGTTGGGTTTTGTTGTTGTTGTTGTTGAACCATCCCTGTATTCCTGTTATGAATCCCACTTGGTCTTGATGAATTATTTTTTTATATGCTATTGGATTTTATTGGCCAAGATTTTGTTAAGGATTTTTGTGTCTATGTTAGTGAATGATATTGGACTATAGTTTTCTTTTTTTTGGAGATGTCTTAGCTAGGTATTGGTATTAAGGTTATGCTTGCATCATAAAATGATTCTGAGAATGTTCCTTCTATTTTTTTTTTGAAAAATGAGTTAAATAGAATTGATGATGGTTCATCTCTGAATATTTGTAGAATTCACTCATAAAACCATCAAGGCTAGGAATTTTGGGGTGGGGAGGGAATCTTTTTATGAACTGCTGAATTTCTTCTTTTGTGATGGGTGCATTTTTGTTCAATGATAGGTTCTCTTCTGTCTGTGTCAATTTGGGTAAGTTGTGGTTTCTAGGAATTTATCCACTTCCACTAGGTTTTCAAATTTATTGGAATATTTGTTGTTGTTGTTATTGTTGCTATGTGCTGTTGAGTTACCTGCGACTCATAGCAACCCTATGCACAACAGCCCTATACCCTGCTCTAGCCTGTGTCAATCTTACTGTCTCTGACACACCTACTCCCGTTACCCAGTCACTGAATCAATTCATCTCATCGAGGTTCTTCCTTTCTTGTGCTGTCCCTCTACCCTCATGTCCTATGTATGTCAGGTCTAACTTCAGAATCCTTACCTCCAAGGAGCAGCTTGGTTTCACCCTTTCTAGGACAAACTTGTTTGTTCGCCTAGCAGTCCCTAGTCATTGTCCAGCTTTCTGATGTATAGCAAGTAATTGCAAAGACTATGGTCCGGGTCTGGCACACCTTAGTCTCGCTACTGACATCATTGCTCTTCAGTACTTTGGAGAGGTCTCTAATAGTAGACTTTTTCAATTTGTCTTTTAATTTCCTGGCTGCTGGTACCAAAGATGTTGATTGTGGAGCCGAGCAAACTGAAGCCATTAACAATCTTAATCTCTTCACCATAACATTTCCAATATTTTTTATTTCATAATATTCCAATATAATCTATTTCTTGCAGGCTGGTTCTGTTGTGATATCACCTCTTTCATTCCTTATTTGACTTATTTGTGGTTTTTCTTTTCTTTTTCAGTTAAGCTTGCCAATAGTTTGTCATTAACCTTTTGAAGGACTTGCTCCTGATTTTGTTGATGATTGCAATTGTTTTCCTGTTTTCTGTTGCATTGATCTTAAACTTTATCCTTATAATTTCTTTTCTTCTAGAGGCTGTGGCGTTAACCTGCTATTTTGTTTTGTTTCCATTTCCTGGAGGTATTAAGTAGTTTATTTTATCCCTTTCTTTTTCTATGTATGTTTTAAATGTGTTTTCTTATTGCTATGAAGTGACCTATGAGTACTGCCTTAGCTGTATCTCAGAGGTTTTGATATGTTGTGTTTTCATATTCATTCATTTTGAGGAAATTTTTTTATTTCAGATTTTATTTCTTCTGTAACATTTCTTATTTATTTCTTCTATAAGTTGTTTTCAAGCAAGGTGTTATTTAACTTCTATATGAGAGTTCTTTTTTTCCTTTATCCTCTTGTTCTTAATTTCTATCTTTATGGCTTTGTGGTATGAGAAGATACTTTGTATTACTTTAATTTTTTTAAACTTGCTAAGGCTTGCTTTGTATCCTGATATGTGGTTGATTCTAAATAATGTACTGTGTGTACTGTGAGAGGAAAGTAAATTGACTTTTTGGTTGAGTAAATTCACCACAGAGTATAGACAGACTCAAAAAATGTCTATGGGATTGATTTGGCTGAGTGTATAGTTCACTTTTTCTGGATCTTTACTTAGTATCTGTTGAGTTAACCTATCTTTTGTTGAGAGTGTTGTGTTAAAGTCTCTTACTACTATTTGATGTTGTCTATTTCTTTCCTCAAGTTTGTTAACCATTGTTTTATGTATTTTACAGGTCTATGCATTAGGTGCATAGATGTTAACTAAGGATATGATCTCTTGATTATTGTGCCTTTACTTATTATTTAGTGCCCTTCCTTATCTCATGTGGTGATTTTCATTCTGAAGTTTATTTTACTGGAAATTAGTAATGCCACTTCAGCTTTCTTATAGATGTCATTTGCTTGGCATATTTTTTTCCCACCCTTTTATTTTTCATCTGTTTTTCTTCTCATTTCTTAAATATGTCTCTTGTAAGCAAGAGATTGATGATCTTTGGGGTTTTTGTTTTTGTGGGTTTTTTTTTTATCCTTTCCGCCACTCTTCTTCTCTTAGTTGTTGCATGCAAGCCAGTTGCATTTAGTGTGAATATTGATAGGCTAGGTTTTGTCATTGCTATTTTGCAATGTTTCCTTTGTTAGTGTTGCTGATTATTCTGGTCCATTCACTTTCCCCTGCTGTCTCTGTGTGAAGGAATTCCCTTGATGTTTCTTGTAAAGTTGGTCTTGTGTTCATGAATTCATTCAGTTCCTACTTGTCTGCAAATGACATCATATTTGATGGA